GGTTCAAACTGAAGGAGGGAAAGTTCATGTGAGATATTAGAAAAAGTTTTTTGCTGTGAGGGTGGTGAGTGAGACACTGTCCCAGGTTGCCCAGGGAGGCTGTGGCTGCCCCAACCCTGGCAGTGTTCACAGCCAGGTTGGATGAGCCTTGAGCAACCTGCTCTGGTGGGAGGTGTCCCTGCCCAGGGCAGGGGTTGGGGCTGGATGAGCTCTAAGCTCCATTCCAAACCCTAAATTCTATGATTAAATTAAAAATCCATGTTCTGTTAGTAAACTCAGAAGTTTCACTTCTGCTGTTCTTCAGAGCTGAGATTGGTCTGAATGTCTGAAATATTTGCTATGTGGTTATGAATACAGATAGATTTGGGTTTTGGTCTTCAAGGACTTAAGTGGAAAGTTTTAGTGCTGGGCCATTGCTTTGCTCTGCTCTAACTGCGAATGTGCTTTATCCCAGGAAATAAGGAAAAACAAGGGTCAGAAATACTGACTGTGCTGCTCCAGGCCTTAAAAAACATTGTGAGCTCCAACTCTCTTCCTGTGCAGAAAGTACTGGTAAGTGTTTCTTGCCTTTCTCTTAAGTGTTTGTCACATGAATCAGCAAAATTGGGCACATGGTTCTCCTGCCAGAACCTCCTGTTTGAAAGACACCTCCCTGGTGTTTTGAGAGGGAAGTAACTGATGGAGTATTGCTTGTATTTGTGATGTTACTTACAGCATTGGAGCCCTTGGGGAAAAAGATATTTACATACATTTTCCTCCTTTCCCCTGCTTAGTCCCTCATTGACATCACTGCCAAGGAGTTGCCTCCCAAAGTGTTGGGCTCACCAGCTTATCAGGTTGCTGATATGGATCTCCTAAATGTAAGTGATTTCATCCCAGAGCTTCCCTTATGCTGAGAGGTGCCAGGAGGTCATGTTATTCCCAGCTGCAGGATGCAGACTGTTCAGCCCTCTCATCCTGGCATGTTCAGCTGTGTAACTGGGGATGAGTGTGCTGGAAGTAGTGCAGTAGTGGAAAAGGATTTTGGGTCATGATTCCAAATACAGGTTGCAGGTGCTTTGTGGGGAGAGTCCAAGTGTGTAGTACTGCTGGAAACTGGTGTGTGCGGGAGATGTTCTGCAGTGGAGTGAAGTGCTTAAAAGGAAAGTAGAAAGTGTTACTTTACTGATAGAAGGCAACTTGTTTGTTTAGCAGCAGTGGAGATAGAGCTCTCTAGCCTAATATTTACACTGTTGGCCAGGCAGTGCTTGGAATTCTTTTGCAGCCCTTTAAAAGCACACAAACATCCAAGGCACAAGTCCTAAGTATAGCACGGGTCTGTAAGTGCTTAACTCAGCTGAGTGGTATAAACCTGTCTGCTAGAACTGTCTTAAGAGCTGAACTCTCAAAGTTTCTCCCAGCTTTTTAACCATGTTTTATTGACTTGTGGAGGCTTTTTCTGCCTGGGTGCAAGGCAGAACCTTATTGGGGTGGTTGAGGTTGCAGTTGGCAGCTGTTAAATGGATTTTGTTAGTTACTCTAGTGTTAGCAAACATGAAGTACTCGTGAGAAGCTTTAACAGAAGTTGTCCAGTGCAGCCCTGGAAGAAGCAAATCCCAGGACCTAGCAGCAGCTTAGGTTTCCTGCTTTCCCTCTCATTTTTATTTTGGAGTGTTAGAATTGACAGTTTTGGACAACTTCTGTCTCAGAGTTGCAATTTTCTGGCTCAGAGTTAAATATAGTATATAGATCCATAAAGTGATGTGTTATGTTTTACCTCTTTTCTCTTCCAAGGGAACACCAGCTTTGTTCTTAATCCAGTTGCCTTTCCACAACAACCTCTTGGAATGCTGTGTGACTGATGAGAGGTATGTGGTACTGGTTCATATCAACCTTCCCATAAGTTTTTATCCCAACTTCAGCTGAAAAAAGCCCCTTACCTGTTTCACCTCCTTCCCTAGGTTCTTTGTCATTCTGGAAACACTTGTGGGTTATGTTCTGTCTGGGCCTACATCTCCCCTGGCTTTCAGTGAGTCTGTCATCTGTGTTATTAACCAGAGTGCAAAGCAAGTGGAGAACAAGGAGCATCTCTGGAGAATGTGGAGTACTGTTGTTAATCCTCTGACTGAATGGATTAATGAGGTACAGTGGCTCCTGGTTCTCTCTCCAGCCCCAGAACCTCACAGGAAACTGCTGAGGGTGGAAAACTGTCTTCCAGGGCCTGCTAACTTCTGAATGCTGAGAGTCTTGTTTGCTTGATGTGATAATAGAATCAGTCCCAAGCTGGAATGTTCAGGATGTGATTAGATCAGAGCTTCTCACTAGACTTAGTCCTCTTGAGTGTTAGACTTGTTGAGTGGAAGCCTCAATGAAAGCCATGATGAACATTTAAGAGGTTTTGCAGGTGACTTGCTAGAAGTTCATTGGCTTTAAGGTAGGAGTTGTTGAGTGGCTTCCTACTGCCAGAGGGCAGGGATAGAAGGATATTGGGAGGCAATTCTTCCCTGTGAGGTGCTGAGGCACTGGCACAGGTTGCCCAGAGCAGCTGTGGCTGCTCCATCCCTGGGAGTGTTCCAGGCCAGGCTGGATGGGGTTGGAGCACCCTGGGCTGGTGGGAGGTGTCCCTGCCCAGGGCAGGGGTGGGATGGGATGAGCTTTAAGGTCCTTCCAACCCAAAGCATTCCATGATTCGAAGTGGGTTGTTGTCATCACTTACTGCAGCTGAAGTAAGGGAGAAATACATAAACCATTTTCTGTCAGATTGTTTTTCTTCTTGGCATTTGGTTATTTTAGCATTTATAAACAGTGATTTTTCTCCCTCTTATAGTAGGATCATCTTGAACTAGCTGATTTCAAAATGCCTCTGGCAGTTCAGCTTGCAGAGAGGTGTCATACGCAAAGCATATGTGTCTAGAACACTTGCATTTGTCATCTCAGTTTGCAGCTTTGCTAATTAAATCCTGTTTTCTCCTTGCAGACGAACGAGGTGAATCAGGGAGATGCCCTGGAACACAACTTCAGTGCTGTTTACAGTGCTCTGCTGCTGCCAGTCTCACACATCTTCCCTGCTCAGCGACTCCCCCAGGTAACCTGAATCCAGGGTGCTGATCACAAGCAATGTGGGTGTACAAAAACACTGTGATGAGAGTGGAGTTTGCTCCTAATGTGTCCACATGGCACCACTGGTATGGGGTTGAATGGAGTTAGACAGGAGTTGAGAGAAGAAGAAAACTTAAACCGAGTGTTGACCTTGATATTGACACCAGCAGTGAGGAGAAAGACTTGGGGGTGACAGTGGATGGGAAGCTCCTTATGAGCTGCAGTGTGAGCTCAGCCCAGAAACCAATTCAGTCCTGGGCTGCATCCACAGCAGTGTGGGCAGCAGGTCAGAAGAGGTGATTCTGCCCCTCTACTCTGGTGTGACCCACCTGGAATCCTGCACACAGTTCTGGTGTCCTCAGCATCAGAAGGACATGGAACTGTTGAAGCAAGTCCAGAGGAGGCCACAAAGTGGCTAAGAGCACTGGAGCATCTCCCTGTAAGGACAGGCTGAGGGAGTTGGGGCTGTTCAGCCTGGAGAAGAGAAGGTTGTGTGGAGACCTCAGAGCAACTTTTCACTATGTGAAGGGGCTACAAGGAGCCAGAGAGGGACTCTGTGTTAGGAACTGCAGGGACAGGACAAGGGGTAATGAGTTCAGACTGAAGGAGGGAAGGGAAAGTCTGGCTATGAGGGAAAAGTGTTTTGCTGTGAGGGTGGTGAGACACTGTCCCAGGTTGCCCAGGGAGGCTGTGGCTGCCCCAGCCCTGGCAGTGTTCACAGCCAGGTTGGATGAGCCTTGAGCAACCTGCTCTGGTGGGAGGTGTCCCTGCCCAGGGCAGGGGTTGGGGCTGGGTGACCTGTAAGGTCCATTCCAACCCTTAAATTCTGTGATTCTGTGGTTCTATCTCTGTGCACAGACACTCATGTTTATGGACCTTTTATCTCTGTTGTTAAAGCCAACCCTGAAGTCCTTGCTGGGCACTTGGTCAGACCTGTACCGAGCGTTCGCTCGCTGTGCTGCTCTGGTGGCTACAGCAGAAGAAAACGTGTGCTGTGAAGAGCTCTGTGCCAAAATAATCTCTGGGCTAGAAGGTGAAACTCCAGTAGTGAGTATAACCCAGTGATACTGAAATTCTTTAACTGCTTGAGCAGGTCTGTTTAAGCTCTAAGAGCCTGTTGGGAGCTCTGATGTAGTACTTGCTGTGACGAAGTGGTTTGGGTGAGGCTGAGCTGAAGGTGTAACAAAATTGTTTGTTCTCACAGGACTTGGTCTAGAAATGGATTGGAATAAGGGAGTAAAAATGATTATGAAGCTCAGATTAAAGTAGCAGTCGAGCAGGGCTTGGATTTGTCTCCTAGAGAAGTAATAGTGACACAGTAATAAATAAAGTGTCATAATTATTGTTGTGGTGGATGGGATTTATCCAGGTGAAATGTGTTTGGATGAAGGGACTTCAGGTGGAATGAAATACCACAAATTGAGGCATTTTGGATAGGATGAAGCAGCATAACTTGCTGTGTTCCTGGGACACCAAGGCATACAGACTTTGCCTCTGAAGCTTTACAAAAGAGGAATTCTTTCCAAACCCACACCCTAGGGGAGGTGGAGTGTCTGGGGGTGTGAGCACTAGGTCTGCAACAAAAAATCCTGTGTTTAAAGTTCTCTCTTGAAAGAATACTGTGAAAGAAACAAGAAGTGGGTAAGAAAGACAGAGGGAATTTGGAAAGCTGGAACTGGAGGATTGAGTCATTATAAGCTGCTTTGGATGCTGCTGTGTCCTGATAAACATCACTTTCCAAAGTCAGTCAGTGCATGTACAGCTTCAGTATGTAAGTTATATTGAAACTTAACTGGTTTTAGCCAGTGTATGTTCCTATGGCAACCAAACTTCTGCCTGCAGTGACTCTTGGGGCAGTGACAAAGGCTTTGTGCAGCAGGTTGTACTGGACAGACACTGTCTGGAACCTGAACTCTGATTCAGCTCCAGTCCAGCCCCTTCCAGCTGCCTCCCACTGTTCTGCTGCTCCTTGTCGGAGTTGTGTGCACTGGGAAGACTCATCTTCAGCTTGTGTGAACGTTTGTGATGTAAAATGTCACATTACCTGTCAGTGCAGACCAGTCCCATCCACCTTTAGATCAGAGCCTGTTGCATTGCTGCCCTGAACAGCCAGAGGGGTTTGTTTTCCTGTCACTTGTTGCTCTTCTGGGCTCTGCTGATGATTTCTCTTTCCTCCTCAGATGTTCTCCATGATGGATGGTCTCACCCACGTTGTGTCAGTCATGGTTGACTGCATCAGCTTTGCACCCTATGGTACTAAGTATCAGCCAAAAGCCAGATGTAAGGAGATACTTGGCTGTTGGGGCTTTCTGTGTGTGTCTTCACCAGCTGCTTGGAAATGGGAGGTGGAGGTGCAGAAGTGATGCCTGGGGGATGTCAGTGGGGTGTGTGTGCTGTGTGACCTCCGAAGGGATTGGAAGGGCATAAGAAGGAATTTAAAGTATCATTCCATGTGCTTGAGGCTCAGATCTTCTCTTTGCTGAGCAGTTACTGCACAGCCTGACAAAATGCAGCTGAAATGGGGGTAAACATAGAGGCCATGTGGCTCTTCTCACTGTAAACCACTGCTGAGTGCTGAAGTGGGTTTGGGGCTTAGGCTGTGATTGCCTTTTTGCATGTGAGATCTGTTTTGCCTTGTTCACCCATGGTCTGAGCAGCAGTGGTGGACCAGAGTCCACAGTCTGACTTTGTAACACCTGCCTAAGCCTGAGGCCAAATATCAACAATATTTTGGTTAGGCTCAGGCTCCTGGAGCTGCTCTGCAATCAAATAGTCAAGAATGGGTGCAACAGAAGGAAAAAGGTCATTGCATGTAAAATGCTCTTTGATGTGTTTCCTGCTCCCACCTAAAACTGCCAAAGCTGAAGAAACAGCTTACAATGTAATAGAATTCAGTATAAAACTTGGTGTATTTTTATTTCTTTGCCCCATGTGAATTTGTTGAGGTCCTAAGGAGCTGAAATTGGAAGTGCTGATGAGGAAAAAACATGCTGAAAAACTTAACTTGCAAATAAATGAGCTCATAAAAATGTGTTTCCCCTTCCCTCCTAACTGGTCCCATGGTTTGAGTGTATCAGCTGTGTCTGCAGGGTGACTGTTGCCTGTTTTCAGGCAGGGATTAGGAACTTAGCAGCACATTGTCTGACCAACCATAAATACAAATAGGATGAACAGGAATCAATAGTGATGTGATAAAATTATGCTTTAAAATGCATAAATTCTGGTTTGAAGCTGTGTGAAAATGGATGTATTTGGGAATCTGTTCTGCTTCTCCTGCAGACCAAGTGTTCAGTTGAGTTTTGTTGCAGGGTGTGTTGGCTAAGGAAAAAGCTCATTGCTTGTTTCTCCATGTTAGCTCCCCAGACCCCTACAGACTGGTCCAGGAAGAAGAAGGAGCCCCTGGGGAAGCTTTCCTCTCTCTTCAAACTCCTGGTGATGTTACTCAACTCTTTCCATGAGCTCAGTTCCAAAGAAACCCATTCAGACACGTTGGTCTCTGTTGGCCCTTCACTCCTTGCTGCTCTTCACCACGTCATCAGCCACATCTCATTGCCCTCAGTGATTGGCACCATGTTTGCCACCTTTTCCAAACCCCTGGCAGGCTTCTATGAGAAAACCAAGTGAGTACTTGAGGAGTGGAAACTGGTTCTTTGCTGCATGTCTGAGTGGAGCTCAGGAGGGACCTGCAGGACCCCAAAAAAGCTTAGAATGTTCAAATTTGTGGCTTCAGAGTGAGTGTGTTGACATCACTACCAGACTATTTCCACCTCCAGTTTATTTTCACTGTAGTGAAGATATTTGTTAACAGGAACTTGTTTTCCAGTGGGTTTTGCTGTGTGAAATTTCATAGGAAGCAAATGATACTAGTGGAAGTTTTTAAGCAAAAGGACGTACTGAGAAATACTTGCTTTGTAGTTTTTTTCCCCCCATGTGGCCTTGCTGTTTCATTCTTTAATTGTTGGAGGATTCTTTTCCTGGGACACAATGGAGTTACTCAGGGCTTGGTTAGAAGGGTTGGGAGAGGCTTGTGGGCAGTTTGTTGCTGGTGCAGATGTACACTTGGCTCAGGATGAGGGGAAGGAATGGGATGCAGCCTGTTGGGTTTGGGGGGAGGGAGGATGGCATAGGGCAGGATGCTCTTAGCCACCCTGTGAGTGTCTGAAGCTCTTACCAAGATTTGAAGCAGAGCTGCTGCCACTAACCTAAAATCCATCAGGAATCCCCATGGGGGAGGCAAAAATCCACTTGTTCCTGTGCCAGGATGAGCTGGACACCACCTCTCCATCTCCCATCTCTTCTGCCTTTGGCTGGGAATGGTTTCTCTGAGGTGTAGTCATGACACAGTAATGTTGGGTATGTGTTTGTGAGGGAAGATGTGCAGGCAGATACAGGTCTGGGAACCTCTTCAGCATGGAGGACACATACAATGAGTTGCTAAATGCAGTTTCCTCATGTTTTTCTGGATAATGTACCTAGGGATTTATTGACATGGAATTGCTTAGGTCAGGAGGTACTTTGTAATGGGGATGTGTTTGGGGAGAAGGGTAGGAGCAACACACAGGCAGCAACTAGAAGTTCCTTCCCAAGAGAAGCTTTGATTTTCAGCTTGCACTAATTGCTGCTGATTTTTCCATTGATCTCTGTGGAAATCAGCATATAAGTATGTGGGAGTTGAAGGATGAGGTTGCTTGAAACTACATCAGGAGGTTTTTTTCATCACCCAGGGGTTTCACAGCCTGATTTAATCAAGTTGTATATACCATACTAAACTACATGTGTACAATATACTAAAACTAGTGCAGAGTTTGTGTGTTGTGTGTTAAATTTTTACGTTGGAGATGTAACTTACTTGTTTGTTTTGTCAGACTTGCTGAGGTTGTGTGTTAAATTTTTATGTTGGAGATGTAACTTATTTGTTTGTTTTGTCAGACTTGCTGAGGTGCCTGAAGTCTACAGCAACCTCAACAACAAGGTAAATGTGTTCGAGAAGGTGCTGGGGGTGAGGAAAATGTGGGACACCAGAGTTCTGCCATTGATTCTGTAGGTTAAAAACAGTGCAAGGAGGGTGGAGATTTAATCTTGACATGGTTTATTTATTATGAAGGATGAGGGGAGGAGCACTGAGATATCTAAAGTTGTGCTGTTGTAAGGGGTAATAATGTTGCACGTGTTGGTTCAAAGCTGCAGCCTAAACTCCCTTGTTTCTTGCCTCCCTCAGCTGGAGAAGCTCCTGGCAGAGCTGCTGCAGTGTGTGCAGTCTCACTGCACAGGCTCCTATGACAGTGAGCTGCTGGAGCAGCTCTCACCACTGCTCTCCGTGCTGTTCCAGCACAGGAGCAAACAGATCCGTAACCAGTGTGCCCAGTTCTGGAATTCCACCTTTGCCAAGTCTGCCTCACTGACCTATCCTCAGGAGCTAAAGTAAGACATGTGTTTGACACTGAGCTCCTCCAGGGGAGAGATTTGTGTCACATACACATGAGTTGGTCCCACTGGTTTCTGTTTACATCCTGGTGGTGGTGTGCACCTTTTTCCCCTCTCCAGGAGTTTAATGCTCCTCTTTTTGTTGTTTGTTGAGCAGATGTGTGTTAAGCCAAGCCAAAAAGAACATTCCTCTCTTGCTGCCTTGTTTTGAGAGCATTGAGATAGCTGAAGAGTACAGTGGGCCCTTCTCTGACACGGTAAATACTCTGTTCAACCCAAAAAGTGCCTCGTGGGAATCATTCAGTAGGTGGGGGAAGGTCAGTTGTGGTAGTTGCTATGATTGGCCTGCTCTGGCTTCATGTTTGGTACGATGAACTCTGCTGGGTGAGCACTCCAGAGCTGGTTCTTCCCCTTCACGCCGTTTCAGTTTGGGGTTCTGTGAGCTTGTTCGAAGCAGTTCATCTTTTAAGTTGTCCTCCACGTAACTCAGAGGAAAATGGGAGTGTGGCACAGCTCAGTTGTGGAAGTCAACACATCTCAGGGTGGGTTTGGGAGCTTGGAGTTTGTTCATGCAGTGCCTTCAGTGTGTTCTCCTGTGAACAGATGGAAAACTCCCAGCTGCATGCCAAGATCAGTGGGATGGAAGTGAACTTGGTTCCGGTCCCCAGACAGTCTGTGTTGGTACACACGAGTGAAGTGAAAAGCTGTGGGAAAGGCAGGGCCAGTAGGGGGCAAGGAACAGCTGCCAAGGTAAGGTGTGCTGGGATCACCTCCACCGTGTCCTGCAGCACCTCAGCCAGTGCTGCTGCACATCCTCAGGGCAAAACAGGAGTTTCCTTTGGAACTTAGCACTTAGTGTTGTGTCAGAATTCCCTGCTGGGGTCACAGCTGCAGGGGGTGAGGTGTGGGGTGGGAGCAGTGGCAGCCAGGCCCAGGCCTCACTCTGGCAGGATCAGCTCTTGGGTGGATGTTGGGTCTGTAGGGCTGTGCTGTCTCCAGGGGTTTGTCAAGGCTGTTGTGTTCTTGAGGAATTGCTGATTTTCCAGTCCTGTTTCTAATCCAGGGTTTGCGTTTGGATTCTTTATTTTTTTTCCTTTCTGCAGTTGAAATTAGAATTTTCATTGTCAAAGATGAAAAGTGAGATACTTCTGGAAGAGGAGAAATCTGCTGATTTTGTGTTTATCCCTCCAGAAACAAAACAAAGAGTATTGACAGAGCATCAGAAAGAAGTGCTTAGGTCAAAGAGGTCTGTCCTTTATTCTGTTCTGTAGTGAAATGTCTTTACACTGAGTGTCTCAGATTGCCTTAACTTCGTTCCTGTGTCTCAGGCTGCCACAAGTGAATTCAGTCTTGTTCTTTCATACAAGTTATAAAGCTTAAAGCTCACTAAAAGGTTTTTAAAGAGTTCCTGCTTTGCAGTTTTAAAGCAGCCAAACCATTCTCTGAGCTGCATTTCCTGCTTTGATGAAACACACTGCAGTCTGTTTGGAGTTGGATAGTTTGCAGTTTGCATTTCTCCTTCATGACTCACAACAGTGTGAAACAGGAGATCTAATTTTTGTTAGATCATGGAAATTAAAGGGTTGTTTTTCCCAGTATGAGGAAGGGACTTGTAGATGTGAACAGAGACTTGTGTCAGTCACATGTCAGAGATGAGAGTAGTCCCAAGACTCACCTTAACTGCAGAGAGATTTAATGCAGCTGAAAAGAGTGGCCTTGAAATGAGGAGATAAACTGACGAGCCTGAGTTCCCACTCTTGCTTGTGTTCCAGAGCTGATATTCCTGCCATGTACAACAACTTGGATGCCTCCCAGGACACCACTTTGTTTTCTCAGTATACTCAGAGCCAGGAGGATTCTCAGTAAGTAGAAGTGCTCAGTGTGTGCATTCAAGGTGTCCCTCGATGTGCAGCACTGCTGATGCAAGTGATTTCTGTTCCAGGGAAGTGCCACCTGTAACAGAGAGTGTCAGAGGAGGTGCTGAGACCAAACCTCAGGTAACTCCTCACAGTCCAGTAATGATTAAGTTATCAGAATTATAACCATAACATGATAGTTTTGTGGCTTCTGTTGCATTCTCATCACTAGATGAGAGTGTAACACCACTGCAGTGTCTGTGCTCTGTTCTGCTCTGGCATTTACACTCCACAGCCCAATCATTGAGTGTTTTGGTTAGAAAATGGGAAGATGAGGTGTGTAAGGACAGACTGGACGTGGCACTCAGTGCCATGGTCTAGTTAACGAGGTGGTGTTGGGTCATAGGTTGGACTTGATGATCTCAGAGGTCTCTTCCAACCTGACTGATCTGTGAGAATAGTCTTAGTGTGGATGTGTTTAAGTGTTGTTACACACCTGCAGGGATTGCAGGGATTTCTGGTCAGTCATGCCCTAGCACTGATTGATGTTTTACTGGGGTAGAGACTGCAAATCCAAACTTCCTTTTGGAGAGGAATTGGCTAAAGAATGGTTTGATCACTGTAGTGCTGAACAGATTCGGTGAGACACATCAGGACTTTAATCTGGTTTAGTAGTACTTCTGTTAGTGTCTCTGGCAAAACTGAAGCAAAACATCTCTGCAATTCTTTGGGATTAAATGACTTTAAAAAAGAGGAATCTTTTATAACTACCAAAGGACAGGTAATAAGTAATTTGAAGCAAGAGTGACTTGAATAACCTTGTGAGTTTGTTGTTTTCTACTGCATCAGAAGTAGTAATATATTATTATATGGGAGTACTATATTCATAGCAAAACCATGAACATCTACTGCAGTAACAAACTAAACACTACAATACTTTGCTGTTCCTGTGTTTGGGATAGGAAGGAGATGCCAAGAGTGAAGGATGCTCCAACGGATCAGCCAGTGCTCCTGAGGGTGCTGCCCAGGGCACGGAGTCACCCGCTCCTCGCTCAGAGAGCAGCACAGCTGAGGTGATTCCGGAGGAGCCATCAGCTGGAGAGGGACTGGACACAAGTTCTGCAGAAGCAGATTCAAAGGAGACCTCAGCAGGGAATGAAAACACCTCAAACGTCAGCAACAGCTCAGCCTGCAGTGATGTGATCTCTGGGACACCACAGCCCGTGAGCCGGCGCCAGTCCTTCATCACGCTGGAGAGGTTCAGTGCCTCGGGGAACAGACCCTTTGGCCTCTCAGCACTCAGCACTTTAGGAAGTGCTACTCTGGAGGGCAAACAGGACAATGCAAATGTAAGCAAGGCTGCTGGGAAAGCAGAGAAACCTGGAGAAGAAGGTAAAAAGCCTTCAAAATCGGAGCCTGAGCCAGTCTCGACGCGCAGGCTGACACGCAGGCAGAGGCAAATGGAGCTCCAGGAAATCAAGTCCAGGCTGTTCACTAGGTCAGAGCAAGAGTCTTCTGACAGCGTAGAAAGACATCCTGAACTGTGTTCTTCAGTAGAAGACGTGGAGCATATTCTCCTGAGCCACTCCCAGACTTTCAATTCCATAGATGAAGACATCAAAAAGGTGGAGGAGGCAATAGCAGAGATAGAAAAGACTCAAGCACTGGACGTGGATTGCAAAGAAAATACACCCCCAGACACCACTGCCCCACCGGAGCAGGCCACGGGGGATGACACTCAGGGGCCACCAGTGCCTCCTCACCAGAAGGTGCTTCGACGTTCCATGAGGCGACGGTCAGACATGGTGGAAGGCACGTCAGGTAGTCAGGAGAAGGAGGATTGTCAGGATAAGTCTCTCCAAAAGAGAGACAAGCGTAAGGAAGATGAAAAATCGGGGCAGAAGAAGATGTCACAGGCTAAAGATTATGGAGCCCAAAAGCCCAAAGCAGTTCCAGGGAACACTACTGAAAACAGAGTTCCAAAAGAGATCAGCCAGCCTGAGAGAACCTCTGCAGGGGACTCCAGCTCCAAGGACTCTCCTGCTTCCTGCAGCCTGGATGAGGAGGTGAACACAAGTGCCAGGAGGCCAGAAGATCACCTGAAAGCTGATGGGGACAGTGGTTTGAGTGCAACAGGGCAGAAGGTGGTGGAGTCCCCGCGGTACTACACCAGGAGGTGCTCACAGGGGTTGATTTTCAGCAGTTCAGAGGCTATGGAGAGTACAAGGAAGAGAAGACACAAAGTGAAAACCCCAAGTGAGGCTCCTGAGAGTAAATTGAAAGATGGACAAGCAGGAAGCCATGAGGTGTCTTCCCAGGGGAATGAAAGCAAGAGTCCACTGGAAGCAGACAAGGGTGAGCCCAGCCCTGAAGCCAGCATAGATGCTGTGCAGACAGCTGAACCCTGTGGCCTGGAAAACCAGGCAATTCCCACAGCTGCTGGGGAAGCTGTGGGATCTTCCAGCTCCAAGGATCTACCTGCTGCACAGGACACCAGCATGGAGCAAAACAGGAACAGCACGTCCATGGAATCAGTCAGCAGCCCCTGTGTGCCTGAGCAGGATGGGAAGGCAGCAGAGGAAGACACACAGGATGAGAAGCAAACCAGCACAGGGGATTGTTCCTCTGTCGTGCCTGACTGTGCTCCAGAGGGAAAGGCCTCTGGTGCTGAGCTTTCCTCTGTTGTGCCTGACTCTGCTCCAGAGGGAAAGGCCTCGGGTGCTGAGCTTGCCTCTCTGCAAGCTCCTGAGTGCAGGCACAAGAGAAGCAAAAGGGTGAAAAAATTCAAGAGCTGTGACTGCTGTGCTGAGACACTAAAGCTGCAATTCATATCCTTCACTGTCTCAAAAGCTCAGGCTGTTCGTGAGCTGAACAAGCTCCTAACCACCCCAGTGCAGACACCTGAGGGTGCAGCAGAGGTGTCTGCTCACTCCAGCTCAGAGGAGAGCTTGTTCCTGGCACCTTGTGCAATGAGCACTCCATTGCATCCTCCAGAGGAACCTGGCACCTTCCACTTGGAAAGCCAGGGGACATCTGTGGACACTCTGCAAGGAAGTAGTGTGGTGGTGAAGGAGAATCCAGAGTGGTCAGCAGGTGAAACTACTGACTCTTTAGAGGAGCTGAAAGAACCTGCTGATCAGGAGCCAACAGAGCAGGTTCTGCCTGGGTGTGCTCCAAGTGAGCCTGGTGAGAGCTGCCTGGCCACGGGGAGCCAAAGGGAAGAAGTAAATCAGAATGGACAGCTGGAGGTGATGCCTGAGGCACTGACTGATAGCAAACCTGAGGAAAACCAGGTGGATGAGCTGGAAGGCAAACAGGGTGATGAAAGAGAAGCAGTGGGTACTTTAGGAGTAAACTGTGTTCTTCCAAATGAGATAAAGGAGGAAGGCATGGAGACTGAAATAGCAGTGCCTGAAAACACAGCCTTGGAAAACAGCAGTGAGGATTCTCCTCAGAAGGTGCACAATGATTCCTTGGGGTCGGTGAGTGAAAGCCCCAACGGCACACAGACACGCTGCACCTGGTCCCCCTCTGCCTCCCCATCCACCAGCATCCTGAAGAGAGGTGTCAAAAGGAGTCAGGATGATGACTGCCTGTCCCCTGTGAACAAGGTATTCCCATGGGAACTGTCATGGTGCTCAGTCCATTTGGGTCAGAACTGGGATATGGAGCAGTGGCTGCACTGTAATGAGTTCCAGTGTGGTGATTATCACTGTGGGTCTCATTGTAGGTGATGTTGTGCTGAAGCTTCTGTTTGGGAAGTGCCAGCACTGACAGACCTGCACTGTGAGGGGTTGGGGGGTACATTTGAGACAGAGCACCAAAGGCTGTTGTTCTGCCTGGATCCCCCAAACCAGGGGCAGCATCCTCAGGGCCTTTCAGTGGGTTGTGAGCAGCCTCGAGTCTCCTCTGGCAGGGTCTGTCCTTGGGTAAAACAGTGTCATTCAAGACTTCAGTGTGTTCATTGCAGCCTGAGCTGTTCTGTCTGCTCAGGCTGAACCTCCCCAGAGTATGGTAGCTTTGCTCCACACCTTAAACCACCTCCTCTCTCCCAACAGATGCGTCGAGTCTCATTTGCAAACCCCATTTACCAGGAGGGACTGGCAGATGACATAGACAGGAGAAGTCCTGTCATTAGGTCCCACTCCTCACCCTCCTCCAGAAGCCTTAAAACTTTATCTGCCGTTCAGCCCAAGGTAAATTCTGTTCTGTGTGCCACAAGTGCTGATGTTACTTAGCATATCTGTCATGACTTCAGAGTGTGTTTGCAGTCACTTGCAGACAGTTGTGAGAGCAGAGTCAGTGTAAGAAATAGCTGTAAGTTCTTTAGCCTCACTCATTCTGTTCCTCTGAGGCCAAATCAGGCTGAGATCTTGGGAGCTAGAATCTGGTAATTTACTGATTTCCTGCTGTTAACTGATTTCCTACTCTGAACTGATTTCTACCACCCTGAGAGATGTTTTTTTCCTCTTTTTCTATCCAGCACATTACCACTCCAACCAAAGGATTTCTGTCCCCAGGATCTCGTACCCCTAAATTTAAGAGCTCAAAGAAGTGCTTAGTAAGAAGTGCTTTGGTTCATGTTTCTCTTCTATTTTTTAATCTCTGTATTCACTTGAGTGATAGTTAATTTACTCCTTTCCCTGTGTTCTTGCAGATCACAGAAATGGCCCAGGTGTCACTGCCATGCCCTGATGAACATGTGTATCCTGCCCTGGCTGACTGCAAGGCTCCTGTGGATGTCATTTTACCTCAGATCACTTCAAACATCTGGTGAGTGGGAAGAAGGTGACATTGCAATAAAAACTGAGTTCTTACTGAACCTTATCAACCCACATTTAACTATAACTTAGGGTTGGCTCCAGCCAAATGTTTGAGAAGGAGGGAGGTTGGTTTGGTGGGGGAGAGATTGGCTAGTCTGGAGTTCTTTAAGTACTGTTTTGGAGACTGTGAAAAGGGCTCTGAGGTCATCAAGTCAAACCTGTGCCCCATCACCATTTGTCAGCTAGAGCAGAGCACTGAGTGCCATGTCCAGTCCTTCTTGGACACCTCCAGGGCTGGTGACTCCATCACCTCCCTGGGCAGCACATTCCAGTGCCTGACAGCCCTTTCCATGGAGAAACTTCTCCTGATGTCCAACTTGACCCTTCCCTGGCACAGTTTAAGACTTACATCCTCTCCTCTGGCCACTTGTTGCCTGGAAAAAGAGAAATAGTCAGGGTGAACTATAGAGGAACAGCAGGAACTGCTCAGAATGGCCTTTCCTGGTCTACTGAACTCCTTTTCCTTCCACTCACACTGCACGTGAGTGAGCTTCATCCATTCCCTGATGGATACAGGGCACACTGCATTTTTGTGTGTGTTTCTGTGCAGATTGTCATCTGCTTTTACTTTTTTTTTCTTCACTTCTGTGCATGTGAGTCATCATTCCTGTAAGATTTTTTTTCTGCTCCATCATGCCAGGCAGAAAGGACCTAAATTGTGCCATGTGTCAGGGGAAGTTTAGGTTGGAGATCAGGACAAGGTTCTTCCCCCAGAGGTGTTTGGGCACTGAACAGCTCCCCAGGGCAGTGTCACAGCCCCAAGGCTGACAGAGCTCAGGGAGTGTTTGCCCAATGCTCTCAGGCACAGGGCGCAGTGTTGGGGTGTCCTGGGCAGGGACAGGAGTTGGACTGATGATCCTTGTGGGTCCCTTCCAACTCAGGATATCCTGTGGTTCTCTGATAACAAACCCTTGTCATTCCCCTGGTGCAGTGCCAGAGGCTTGGAGCAGCTCATCCGAGCGAAGAACATCAAGACAGTGGGTGACCTGAGCACTCTGACAGCGTCTGAGGTCAAAACTCTGCCCATCCGCTCTCCCAAGATCTTCAATGTCAAAAAAGCCCTTAAAGGGTATCATGAGCAACAGGTAGAGTTGAGTTTTAGCACCCAGGAAGGCAATGTTGGGCTAATGAACTGCTAACTCCTGTTGTTCTGAAAATATCTCTTGTTCTCTCCCCAAAACTCCTCAGGTGAAGTCTCGGGTGCCGGAGGAAATGTCAGCGCTGGAAGATGCAGAAAAGCCTGTAAATGGCCTGGAGGATAAATCTCTCTGTGCAGATGAGGAAAAACTTGCAACAGGTACCAGTTACTGGCTGTTGGCTTTGCCTTCATCCCTTTGGCTTCAGTAGGAGAGTGTTCATAGCCAAGAGAGCACACGTAGTGCTGTTTTGTGCAGCCCTGTAGCAATGGCTTTTTAAAACTTTGCATATTTTGAGGGGAAGGTGCTGGTTTTCCCAAGAGAAACCTGCAGAGAACAAAGTAGGCAAGGCTGCAAGTCCTTCATGTCCTGCCCCTCAGCCAGGTGTCCGTGCTGGGGGTGCACAGGAACCAGGAGGGGGGGGAGCAGAGACTGTTGTGGTGCCTCATTCTGAGGGGCTTGGGACAGGAGGGGGATGATTCCCTGCTGGGATTTGGGTGTCTTAGGTTTTTATTTGGATTCTCCTGTGCATTTCTGGAGCTCAAAGAGAGGAATCCATGTTTGGTCTTCCAACAAGAGACTTAAAGCAGAGCCAAAACTCAGGAGTGACTGTCCAGTCTAAGCATGGGTCTTTGGGGGGACAGGTCTGGAAGGACATTGGCAGTGTCTCTCTGGGATCAAATAGAGTCATTTCTACCCTTAGAGCTGTTGTACAGTCACGGTCAAACACCACCAAACTCAGGGTGAGGAAGGGTAGGGTGGAATCCTGATGTTTGTCTTTGTCAGGAACACTTGTATCCCATGGAGTAAACACTTTATAAGCTGCTTGGATACTGTGTACAAAAGCAGCTGTGACATGCTGCTCCTGAATTCTGGGTGGGTTTTGCTCCACACCCCCAGACCCTGCCCTGCCCTTCTCCCCTTCCCTTGCAGCCCTGGCTGAGCCAGCCGTGCAGAGCAGGGAGCAGCCCCCAGCAGACCTCCCGAGCCAGATCCACGCCCTGGCAGCACAGGTGACCTCTGAGCACCTCCACAGCTACTCGGGCAGCCAACTCTTCGAGATGCACGAGACTCTGGCTGCCATGACCAGCTGCATCCTGAGGAACCTGCAGTCCCGCTGGAAATCGCCTCCCCACAAGAGCTCTGAGTAGCTGCTGCTCAGGGATGAGTAAGGAAGAGTTTGTTACAATTTTTTTCCCCCAACTTTTCTTTATTTTTGGTTTTTTTACTCCTTCAACTGTGCATTTTGTGCTATAGAAGTGGGGTTTTTGTTACACCTACATACATTTATTGTCATAGGGTTTGTTGTTGGTTTCTTTCCTTATTGTGTGTTTTTTTTTGTTGGTCTTTTCATCCCCTCGCCCTAGTTTGTGGGATTGTTTCCTCCCTGTCTGAGGTGTTTGTGTTGTATTGCTATGCATATTTCTTTCGGGCAGTGAAAGAAACTTTGACAAGAGTTGTGCAATAGCAAAGACTGTGAAACCAAACCAGCAGAGTAGTTAGAATTCTATTTTTCAAACCCAAAGTGTTCTTGCTGCTGCAGAGTAAGTGCTGCTGGGTGAGAGCAGCTCTCAGCTCTGTGTGGGAGCTCCTTCAGCACGTGAGGTAAGCTGGGCATCACTCCCCACAGCAGGAGCTTGGCCTTTGTACCAGAGCTATTTTTGCATGTATTTTTGTACTGCTGACCCTGAAGGAGCTGAGAATGGGGTGTGTGTGACAGGGGAAAGACTCTGCGAAGCGTCTCAGGCCTCTGTTGGCAGCAGTTTCTCCTTCTGTGGAGAAGACTTTTTCCTTGGGGAAAAAATGAATTGACAATAGCTTTTTTTGTTGTATATTATGTACAGACTTAGGGCAAATGTTTGGTTAATAATTTATGATCTGGAGTTTTAATTGCATGGGATGCACTGCTGCTTCTGGGAGCCCTTCAGTGAGCTGAGAGTTCCTGGGTTTTGCTCTGGCATTCTGGTCTGTATATATTGTACTGTGGTTCTCCCAACGAACATTTCTTCAAAGGAGTTGCTGCAGGTGGTTTTTACAACTTTTACATGGACAAATAAAAGAGTAAATAGTCCCCAAACTGATTGATGGCATCGTGGTTATGGGGGTTTTATCCCCTTCAGCTCTCCCTCAGCACTGCTGTGGATTCCCAAGGCTGGGAGGGACCCTGGAAGGTCATCACTGCCCTGGGACCTGTCAGCAAGACAATGTGTGTTCCTTGCCCTGTTTGTGTGGCTCATGGAGAAGAGAAACAAGACACAGGTGGCCTAGATGTACAATTTGAACAGGTGGCTGTAGGTTTTTTGGCTTGAAAATGTTATTTTGGTTCCAAATCTCAATCCTTAGGCATGTTCAGCTCTTTATCCAGTCCCTGGGTGTGATGAGGATGTTCCTAACAGCCCTGGAAGGAGTGTGGAGTTACTTAGCTAAGCCTGTGCAGTGCTGGCAGGGCCTGGAGGAGGGACATTCCCTTTCAGGCTGGTTGTGTACACCAGCAGTGCTGTGAGTTCTGAGCATTGGTGTTGCAGCTCCTGCTGTTAACTTGATTTTAGTCTGTCTTAGACACAGTGTACACTGGTTTTTAGTGCCTTCTGTCCTGGGCTGTGGCTGGTTCCAGGAGCTTCAGTACATGAAGCAAATCACTGCAATGTTCACTGCCCAGTTCAATCCTGGGCCCTTCCCTTTTCCCAGGACACATTTCTGCACCAAGCCAGGCTGTTGTGAGATGAATTCCTGCCACACCCAACATACTGCAGAAACATCAGCTTTATTCAGTCACTAATTTACAAGGAACAACAGCTTCTGACCCCAGAAGAGCTGCATGAAGGACACATGCATGAGAGCTCAGCAAGCAGGAGGGGAGGGTTGGGGCTCTGCTTTCCCCTCCTCAAAGTCATGGTGGTTTGAAATACTTAAGCTTATATGGAAAAAGAGGTAAAGATACTCAAACAGTTTAGAAGAGCCCAGAAAAAAAATACTCTTTAGAGGAGAATGAATGAAGTAATGCTTGGGAGTCTTTAGGGCCTGTGTTGAGTGTTGGAGGTACTGAGCTGGGTTGTGGTTCTGGCATTGTCCTGCTGTGGTTGCGATGAAACGTTTGTCATTCCAGGCAGTGGCTAAAGGGTAAGTTGGATTGTTTGGGCACTGGAAGAAATGGAGTTTCAAAAATGCTTCGAGATGATGTTCCAAGAGGGTTTTGCTCTGCAGTTACCTTTGCCTCGTGGCTCTGAGGCCCGTGGGGAGGTGTCCCACCCCAGGGCAGGGCCTCACACAGCCTCCACGTAGTTGGCAGGCAGCATGCCAGTCTTGCCCGTCCTCTGCACCGTGCCGTACATCCAGCCCTCGTCGATGGCCTGCACGTTCACGATGGTGTCGCCGTCCTTGAACGACACCTCGTCCGCGTCCGCGGCCATGTAGTCATACATGGCTCGGTAAGTCTTCTGTGAGGGGAAAGGGGCAGAGAGACATGTTTGCACCCTGGCAGCACTGACAGCCAGAGCTGGGGCAGAGCAAGGTTTGACTCATTGCAGTACTCTGAGGGCACTGTCTGGCTGCAGAGTGTCCTCAGTGCCACAGCACCTGAGGGTGAAGTCTGTGGCTCTAGAGCCAAGTCTGGCATCATGGAACCATCAGGGTTGGAAGAGACTGACCTTTAAGAGCATCAAGTCCAACTGTCCACCTATCACTACCCAGCTGATGGGTCCAGCTCTGACTGGAACTAGTGGTGAGTAGGTGTTGCCTCCCAGCAGGTTCCGGGAGGCAGTGCCATACCCACTGTCTTACACCTACTCCAAAACTCAATCCCAAGTGTAGGAAGAAGTGTTCATTCAGTTAAAGTTTTAAGTTTGGACCCCACTGTCACACATCTACTCCAAAACAGCCTCAGGAGGAGGAGGATGTTCTAATTTAAAGTTTGCAGGTGTTGCTCTAAGATTTCCAGGTGTGTTAATTTGCAGTTTCCAAGGACTATTAAGGGTCTGTCCCACTTCAGTGGGTGTTAGACCTCCACCTGGTTTAGTACTGGTCCTTACCCCAGTGGGTGGGTTACTTACCCCAGCTCAGTCTGGGTTAAGACCATGTGGAGCACACTGGGATGAGCAAGCACCACGTGCTGAGACCTACTGTGTGTGCTGCCCCAGCCCTGGTGTGACTTACCCCAGCAGTGGAGGGGTGAGAAGGGACGGAGGACACCGTGGTTTGCTGCGTGGCGACCGATGACGAGCGTTGCTGGGGCAGCTCGATGGTCTTAACCTGCTTGTAGCCCACTGCAAAGGGAACACAGGGTGAGGAGGTCATACTGGGATAGGGCACTGGGGCAGGTCAGAGCTGCCTTTGAGCTACTGACACAGATTTACAGCTGGTGGTTGTGTCCACAGCACATTTTGGAGATGTGTTTTTCCTAGCAAAAGGAGTCACAGAATATTCAGAGTTGGAAAGGATGCACAAGGATCATCAGTCCAACTCCTGTCCCTGCCCAGGACACCCCAATCCTCCTGTGCCTGAGAGCATTGGGCAAACACTCCCTGAGCTCTGTCAGCCCCCTGGGAGCTGTTCAGTGCCCAGACACCTCTGGGGGAACAACCTTGTCCTGATGCCCAACCCAAACCTCTCCTGACACCCCTCCCCAGCCATTCCCTGGGGACCTGTCACTGGTCCCACAGAGGTCAGTGCTGCCCCTGCACTTCCTTCCTGAGGAAGTTGCATAAACTGATGACTTCTCCCCTCAGTCTCCTCCAGGGTGAACTGCCCAAGTGCCTCAGCCTCCTCATGTGTAGCTTCCCCTCCAGGCCCTTCACCAC